CGTGATTAAACTCACTAGGTGAACGTGGCCAAACTCACAAGAAGAACGTGGTTATACTCAACCTTTAAGATAAGACCACCAAAAAGGCGTAAGAAGCAATCAACCTGCCCTTTTTATAATTTACTTTAAATGACTTAGAATAATATAATATTCCCATTTCTTTTCCTTCTAACACCAATACAGAAAACCCTTACGATATTATAAATTAACTATAATTGTAATTTTATCATTTAACAGCTTCTCGGTCTTCTACAATGGCACAAGAAAAATGCTATGCAGACAAATGTGACCAAAAATGTCCACTTACGGCCTTGACGTTGGCAACGCAGGAAAAAAGCCTCACCAAAGGAAGAGAGGCAAAAATTCTAAGAGGGCAGAAAGCTTTGTAACTGAACACGTGGACAGGCTGCAAAGTACTGCGGATGTCCAACAACCTGTCAAACTAACGATTATTCGAAGAAATGGACAACATGAAGTTAGTGGTGGAAGTGTCAATCCATTCTCTCTTGTCTTCCTTTCCGATCATCCCCGCCTGACAACTTGCACAGGATGTAGCAAGACGGTTCGCACGCATGGCAGACGGTGGCCTCTTTCCTCCTCCAGATGACATTGCTATTACGCACAGAGAGTGTCGTTCCTGGCAAGACAAAACAGGAATTCTGAGAGTAGGGAAGGAACAGGGTGTTTACTTTCATGTAAATTTAGCTTGTGTCAGAGAGGGACAAATGCGGTTTCTGTAACATTTATCATTATCATATCACAAGACGTGACTTTTTCCTGTTAATTTATGCATTACTAACAGTGACCGATAACAGAGAAATTTTTAGCATGACGTTTCACGGCGGCGAGCGTTTCACGTCGTTGATTTCGTTACTTTGTCATTTAAGTGACGATCTCTGTAAGAGCGGTCCAAGGCATTTCGCATCGGAAAAAAGTTTCCCCTCAAACCTTGCCCAATAAACTATCTTTGGTAGCAAGTAAATAAAACCACATTAGTTTCTGGAAATACGTTAAAATAAAATTTTTAGAGCTCTCAAAAGTCAAAGCTGCAAAAGGCCTTTTTTTGACCTCTTGCGACATTGAAAATTTCAAAAGTTGAATAGCTCGGTCCTCGTATCACACCGCATGCAGCAAAAAATCTTCGTATTTTTAAACTGTGTGATATGTTAGGTGTATAAAAAGCATTTCAATTTTGATATTCGTTTTTTCAGTGGTTCGTCATAATTTATTTAAAAACACTCATTAGGCAGCTCTCTGAAATTAGTCAAAAGTACTCTTTCTTTCTTGGTTGATATTGCTCAAGTTCAGACCCAACCATTGAAAACTCCGCTAGATTTCTTCTAATAAGATGTTTGGCTGCAAAAAAATATAAAAACATCTTGCACTTATTAATTTTGCCTAGCGTGACAGCCGATTATGCAAATTAGTTCATTGAGCAAACTCCGACCGTTTTATATAAGTAGCTCAATAAATCTTAGATTTTAACCATTTTAAGTTGAAAAGATAGTTGGATAGAGCTTTTAGACCACATTGATTCGCATAACGGGTGGACGTCATAATTAGACTGCATAGCAACTCCATTCCGAAATAATTTCCTCCATTTTTGCATGAAGTGCTACCTTTGTATCTCGCATTCAAAATGCAAGCCCAAAATGTTTGCACATGTCTCTTAGTATCTTGACTTTGAGGCTAGGCAACCTTCCCTCTCTTGCCAACGAGCACACATCATAGACATCAAACATGATTGGGTGTTTCATTCCTATCTCACCCATTACTGTGTTCCTGGCCTCTCTCGAACACTCTTCGTCTACATTAGACGCGGGTGCCTCTATCAGATCGTCGTCTTGGTCGTCTGCGTCTGTGGTATCATCCGTTTCTTGTTAGATTTTAGATCGCTTTTTAAGGCACAATCGCGAGAAGAAACCCTGAATCTGTATGTTGGATAACCACTCAGTTCCATCGAACATTCTTTCTATTCTCTCTCTATCTATGGTGCAAGCAGTTCGCATGTCCTTTATTGCTTGCTCTGGGTCTTGTCTTCTGTCAGTGGCTCGTCCAATGTTAAATTTCTGTGTCAAGTACTGCCAGACGTTTTGCGAAAGCTGTACACTTGCACCTCTCTTATGAAGAGCCCATTCGATGGGAAGCTGTAAAGCACTTGTCAAGGGTTCTGTGGCCACTGCAACCAGTTCAGTCGAACTTTCACCCTAATGATAATGACTGAAATTGATGAACCGACTCCCTCTTCACTTTGTCAAAGAGACTTTCAGCCATGCACGCAGGCACAGGACTTACATGATGAACAGGCTAGCAAGTTCATAAAATCTTAAAATCTTCATCGCAACCAGGCTCAGGACATTGATAGGAACTAACGTCATAGCCATCATTGCTTTCT